AAATTTTCGGTGTACGGATGCCGGCTTATAAAAAATTAATACTGTTGGCCGAGGAGAACACACTTCTTACTCTCTCTGGTCCGCGTTTTCATATGAAGATATTGCTCGATCGTCATAGCCATTATGTCAAAATTGAACCAACTGAGGGCGGTCCGCCATATAACCACTATATTTGTACCAGTCATACTAAATTATGCGTACCTTTGGTGATTGTGACCGGATGATTATGTAAATTGCACGAAAACAAGAGTTAGAAACTCCGATAAAACTCTAATAAACTGATTTAGAAAAATGGCTCAGCAGCAAAGACCCTCCGATACGGAACTGGCTTCTGACATGCCGAAAGATAATGCAGTGTTTGAGAAGGCCGAAGATCTCGCGTCATCAAATTTCTGCATCACATACAGAAATGACACCGAAAACGACAGACTGTACAGCAACGTCGCGTGAATCAGAAGGTTTTCAGCCATTATATCAATGATCTGAGGCAGCGTCTTGTATTCAGATGAGTTGCTTCAGAATAACATTCGATCGGAGAAAATGACTACTAAAACTTTTATCAGAATCTATTATCTGCCATTTAATTTTTCAACACCATCTGTTGCTCATTTTCTTAGGAAGGCAATCGCATCCCAATATTACAAAGTAAAATGTTTATAATTCATGCTTTGATCGAATTAAATTTTCCTTGAAAAACTAACCATGGGTACAACTGCCCATGTTGTATCAACAAAACGTTGCCATGCGTGGTAACGAGGGTCTCTTTACTAACATATTTACGGGTTGCGACGAAGATACCACTCAACAACAAAGCCGCTACCCGTTTTGAACGGAGGAAGCCATTATAGGATGTCAAATAGGGCTCCATGGGAACGATGCTGACAGTGAAAGCATACAGACAGAAACGAATATATTCTCAATCAGAAGGAAAGAGCAGGGGCTAGTTGATGAGGCCGTAAGGTATCAACTCGACATAGTTGGACTTTCGCTAACGAAGAGCAAAGGCTCTGGACTTCTGAACCTCTGCGGGTGCAAGCTATTATACTCAGGTGTCGATATCATGACGTGCGCTCAGGCCGATTTTGGTGTTCTGGTACAGCCCAATATGGCTGACAGAATCATTCAATAGAAGCGTGTCGGCGGAACAATTACAATTCACCTCCTGAAGCCATAACAGTTTAAATTTTTGACTTTGTTACAGGTCTATGTGCTTAAGTTCGAGGGACAGTATGAGATCATCCAGTGGAAGGTGCTCTACAGGAAGCGCCAACTATGAAATGAATCATTCTAACGGTCGATTTCCGTATGCGCCTTTCGGAGTAGACACTGGAAAGTGGAAAAACGCGACTTGAAGGAAAAACCTTAGTGCCCTCAGCAGTATGGACACGAAGTTGTTGCGATTTTGTGCAAACAACTGATTGTCCATTATCTAACACCTTCTTCGAGCATCGAAGCGTGCATCAGCATACCATACAGGGAACCTCGTGCATAGAAGTCGATGATCGATTTGATAATCCTATCGTCGGACTTACGACGCTATGTAATGAATGCTCTCGTTAAGAGAGGCGCAGAGCTGTCAGTAGATCATCACCCTGCTGCTGGCAGGCTACGCTTGAGAAATGGAATACCATACGAAGATCTGGAGGCAGAAGCAACCAAAGAATCAAATGGGATGCATTATCACCTGAGGACAAGAGGGGGAAATTCGCAAACAACATCGCACGACCGTTTGAACAGATCCCTGTGATGACCACTGATGTTGAAACCGAGTGGCAGCTCTTTAAGAGCGGCATACTCAGGCTGCCGCCGAATGCTGCGGATTTAAACGGAGGTCACAAAAAAACTTCCTGGTGGAAACGAGAGGTACAGCTGGCAGCTATGGAGAAGTAAGCTGCATTCAAGAAATAGCTTGCAAGCAAACAGCCTTCTACTCGCATGAGATATGTCGAAGCACGCAAGGTGGCAGCGAAAGCAGTGGAGAAGCTAAAGCTGATTATTGTGAGAGGTTCGGTGAGGTGTTGGAGTCGAATTTCCACACGGCAAACAAGGCATTCTGGCAAACCATCCGTCGGCTCCGAGGTGAAAAGAAGAGCAATCTTAGAGTCTTCAAGGACAGGGCTGGACACCCTCTTACCAAAGATGTCATTCTTTGGCGATGGAGAGAATACTTTGAGGAACTCCTTAACCCCAAGAAATCGCAGGAAAACTCGCCTGTAGAGCAGCAGGGAACGGATATTACTACTTCTGTAGATTATACAAGCTTGAAAAAAAGGAAAGGCTGTTGGAATTGATGAAATCTGCCGTGAAATGCTGAAGGTATTAGGCGAACAAGGCATGTGCTTCTTTCATGTCTGCCAAACTGCAGTGGCTACAAGGACACAACCGGACGAAAAACGGGGGTTGTAGTACCGCTGTTGAAGCAGGAAGACCAGAGAGTGCTCCAATTATTGAATCGTTACCTTATTGAAAATCACGGAAAACTCGGCACAAATATGATAAAAAAGAGGCGCGGCGGAATAACTGACTCTATAATACAAGAGCAGGTGGCCTTAGATCTGACCGAAGCCTCTCTGACCAGATATTCCGCTTACGCCACATTGTTGAGAAATCACGGGAGTTTGCACGTCCAGTTTACACCAGGCTTGTGCACCTAGAGAAAGTCAATGACCGGATCTCACGCAACAATCGATGGCGGTGCCTGCAAACATATGGGATCGATGGCCAGTTGCTATATTTTAACAGCAGGTACTGCGTCAGAATA